CGGAACCTTACCTTTCCTTTCCTAGTTTGTTTGGTTTTCCGTCGTAGCTTGTCTTACTAAAGTTAAAATAGTGCACATGTCGTGCACGCACGGTGATAATATAAGTAATAATATCCAGGTGCACACCCTCAGGGTCCACTTAGTATGAGTGCAAAATTTACTAGGTTTTTAGTATTATTTGTCTTAGTGCTGTGGCAGTCACATATTCTTTCCTATGTGGTTTTTCCCTACCTTGCCTCATAAAAAGATGCGCACACGCGCATGCACGTGGACAAGTAATAATAATCAGGTGCACACCCTCAGGGTTCACTTAGTATGTGTGAAAAATTTCAGGTTTCTAGGTTCTTTCCTATTGGAGTTATAGTGGTCACACGCACACAGACCCACAGACACGCCCTTTTATTATTATAGATGTGTTCAAGCACCATTTTGTTTTATTATGTTTTTTCAAAGACCATTGTATATGTTAAAGCTCCACTTTGTGTGATGTGTGCTGAAGCTCCACTTTCTTGATAATGTATTACGGCTTCACTTTGCGCTTGCCTAATTCTATTATTATTAAACATGTATTCAACCTTCCATTTTATATTTCATGTGATTAATATCCAAATTGTTTTATGACATGTTAAATAACTATGCTTTATTTCATGCTCAATTGCACCTTGTTTCATTAGGTGTTTAACTCCTTTTGTTTCACTCAAAACTTTTAACTCTTGATATACTTTAATATGTGTTTAATCATTTATGTTATTTTTCATGTATCCCAACCCCGTTTTATTAATCTACAGGGTGTTCGAAAAGTCTAGAATCATAGGAACTTCAACGAATTTTACAGAATGGGTTCCACATGCTGTCCTTATAATTTAACAAGAGTTTGGATTAACAGCAGGATTAACTCGACATTCTCATGCTTTGACAGCGCCACAATCATTCACATATCCGAAATTAAGAAAAGCTGCAAATAACCTATGGTTCCAGACTTTTCGGACACCCTGCACTGCTTAGTTTCATTCTGTGTGTACATTTTGATGTCAATGAATTAACAAAAGGAAATAAATATTAATAATTAACCAAGACTTTATCAATTTTGAAAGGGATAATGCTGCAAAATACATTACTTGAACAATAAAATGGTTCGTATGGGCTTCTGCTGCATTTCTCGATATTTTCAAATGAAATATAGAAAAAAAAATATGTTGGAATAAGCAGAAAACTCACCGGAAAGGCGTGCATTTTGGTTCCAGTAGAATGTTCTTCAAATAAAGGTACACCACTGTCTGAAATAGAATAAAGAACTGAGCCTGGGGAATGTAAGTCGAAATAATTCCATGTGGAAATGACAGAGTTGGAGTCGACTTCGTTTAGTTGAAGTTCGCCAGTGTTTGGCACAATATGGAAATCCATAGGAAGTATTTGTGGATTTCTGAACATTTCATCCTTTAACCTTTTCAGTGATTCCTTAAAAAATCATCAATGATTTACTTAAAATATAAATACTTAGGTAGACAACTAAACTGGTACAGATAAAAGCAATAAGTAGAAATATGCACAAATACATCGATATCCAAATTAAATAACAGAAATGATAGGAGAGTAGATGAAAAATAAACTTGATAGTCAGAATGAACTATACATCAGTCAACTCATATTGATCTGCATTAAAACCGAATATATTTTGCTAAATACACAGAGAGAAAATTACTGTTTTTGAGAAAACTGTTTCGTGATAATTTGAAAGAAACTTTTGTCACGACAGGAAATATAAATCGTATTTTATACAGTCACATATAACAATTATGCACGCATTTAAAGGTGTAATTATCACTACAGCTCTTAATAACTACATAAATTACCTTTCTCTTTTGTTAAATGTGTTGTGATTAGGACGGAAACAAAACCTAAACTTATGTCGTGCAAGAGACTTAGTGAATTACAAATTTATTCTCTGCTCTGCGGGATCACGGGAAGTGTGCAAACACTGGTTAATTTCTGATTCGTTTGAGCTTTGTTTCAAAGTTCCGTCAGGGGTATTTCTGGAAAGTGACTTTTATTGCCATTTAAAATTTTCGTGTTAGAATTCGTAATTGGTTAAGATCTTTTGTTTTTAAGTTGAAATGATTTAGGTAAATTAAGTATGACCCTAAAAGCGAAATGAAGAAAACTGTGTAAAATACTCTTCTTCAATGTGCTGTGTGGCCTCTTTGTAAACACAACTAACACATGGTTCCATAGTCTAATGACTCATGGGAAGTTACTCCTTCCTTAGAATAACTTTAGAATAATTTTAGCTCCAACTATACCGCAATCTTAAGAGAAACAAACTAACCCTAACTTTAAGATTACGAAACATTAGCCACAATATTAAACGTTACTTGTATTCAGTTTTTTCTTGTATCTTCTGTTTATTTTCCTGAGAGATGTATTAGAGCTGGACTCGATCAGCATAGTTTTAAAGTCCGTAAACTCTTGTACTTTTCCATATTACTTGTTCACGTTGCAATAAAAAAAGGTAGGTAAAGTATTCCCCAATTTTTCTTGTTTAATTTACATACTTTTCCATTACATCTTTAAAGGATTTTTCCTTTTATATAACTTGTATTTATATATATATATATATATATATAAATATATATATAGCATCTTTATATGGCTGACCTTTTAATTCTAAATTGTTTGATTTTGCACATGTGAAATGTTTTGATCAGATATCACTGTTTTTATTTACATTGCAATTTTCATTTTCAATAACAGAAAACCTTGATTTTAATGAAAATTCATTATTATTTTTAGCTATATATGTATGTGTGTGCTTGTGTGTGTATGCCATTTTTAACTGTTGTATTTTTTATTTATGTATGACATATATTACTTAATTTTAAAATATATAAAAATGAAATTTCCATGCAAAAGTGAGATTTGTACATCATCAGGTGACACTGCAACAGATACTTAATATTTGCCTAGCACATCAAACTTTGACTTTAGCCTTTCCATCCTTTCCTAAATGCTAAAGTCATTTTCTGTTTTAATGCAGATCGCATTTATGCTTCAAGTGGTTGCGAGTTCCATTAAGAAGTATGGAACACGTTTTCCCCTTGTTTACTATGCATTCTGCAGACGTTAAGCCGACTGAGTTCCCTAGTTCAAATCAATATTAACCTGTATGATTGGTGTATGTCTGTTTGTTTTGCTGCAAGGAAAAGAATAAGAAGTGTACCATTGGTTGGCAGATCAATTCTCTTAATCTAAAATAAATGTTTTAAATGTGACGTCTAGACATATTCTTATGTTTCTTACTTATCTTTCTGTTAGGAACAGCCGTGGCAATATCCCATATATGACCCAAAGTCTTAACCCGTGCCCATAGTAACTAATCCCCCATGGAGTTTCAGTTTAAATTATGAGGGCTTATAATATTTAAACCCGGGGTTTGATACCCGCAATGAGCACAATGCGGTAAGCTTATGCTTTGAATAGTTTCACTGGGTCCACTGCTGCACCTCTAGACATTCTGTACGCTGAAACTAATGGTTTTTCACCATTCATGAACCATATTACTGAAACTGCAATAACTTATTTCTATGTTTAGAAAAGATAATCCCTTTTCATACAAAAAGGGAAAATTTTATTATCATACTAGCGAAAGTACCCGACTTCGAACGGGTTTATTAGGTTGATTTATTCTAGATGACTATGTCAGTGTGTGTATTCTTAACTCATTTTAGCATAAAAATATTACCTATATACTTTTTTTGCTCCTTTACGGGATGTGGCCTGTTTATAAGGATAACCTTCCCTCTGACTTGTCCTCTGATTTTAAACTTAAATAATAAAAACAAATCTCTTTTAATTAATGGAGCCTCTAAATTAGAAAATAACAATTTTATTCAATTTTGTAGTTTATGCATTTCATTTTATACTTTCAGTACATAGCCTCTCAACTAAAATATTAGGTTAGACTTTTATTGCTAATCAACATGAGATAAAAGCCATTGTTGGAACGCATTGTTACAAAAATGCACTGGTTTTTCTATACATTAAAAGTTGTTATACAAGGAACCACTTCTTTCTGTGTAGTTTTTCGCTAGCTTGCCTCATTAAAAAGATGCGCATGCAAAATTTCAGGTCTCTAGGTTTCTCTTGGAGATATGGAAGTCACACATACACAGACACGCTCGTCCACTTGCACACACGTGCGTGTCTGTCTGTGATTTCTATTTGTAATATTTGTTTGCTTGTAGTTATTTACAAAGATACACAATGGGCTATCTGTGCTCCGCCCACCACGGGTATCGAAACCAGGTTTCTAGCGTTTTAAGTCTGCAGACATACCGCTTTGCCACTGGGAGGCTATTTGTAATATAAGAATCCACTTCTTTTTTATGAGAATTTATTGCTAGCTTTCCTCATTAAAAAGATGCGCATGCGCGCTCACATGTGCATATTTCCTTCCTATATGCTTTTTCGCATAAATAGATGCCCATACACGTAGATACGTAATAATACCCAGGTGCAAACCCTCAGGGTCCACTTAACATGAGTGAAAATTTTCAGGTTTCTAGGTTTTTCTTCCTCTTGGATCTATGGTGGTCACACATACACAAACACGCAAGCGTGCACGAACAACACAATAGTGATTTCTATTTGCACATTTTTTTGTGATTTCTATTTCTAATGTTCAGGTTCTTTCATCTCGGAGCTATGGCGGTCACACTTCTTTTCTACGTGGTTTTTCGCATAAAAGGATGGGCACGCGCATGCGCAAACTCATGTATATAAGTAATAATACCCCAGGGCCCAATTAATACGGTGGAAAAATGTTAGGTATCTAGGTTCTTTGCTCTTGCTGCCATGCATAACAAAGAATGCAAGAAGCCAATATTTCTCCATTACAAATCACACCAACCAGAACGAATAAAAAAGACGTGCATGCGCGCACGCACATGGATAAGTAATAATACCCAGATGCACACCGCACACGTGCGTACATGAGCGTCTGTCTGTCTCTGTGTGATTTCTATTTCTAATATTAGGAACCACTTTTTTCTATGTGGTTTTTTTGCTAGTTTACCTCATTAAAAACATAAGATAAGTGATACCCAGGTATATACCGTCAGTATGGGTGCAAAATTTTAGGTATTTAGATTTTTTCTTCTTGGAGCTATGGCGGTCACACTTCTTTTGTTTGTGTTTTTTGCTAGCTTGCCTCATTAAAAAAATGCGCACGCGCACGTACATGGACAAGTAATAATACCCAGGTGCACACTCTCAGAGTCCACTTAGTATGTGTGCAAAATTTCAGGTATCTAGATTCTTTACTTTTGGAGTTATGGCAGTCACACACACATGCCCTTTTATTATTATAGGTGTGTTTTTGTTTAGTAAGGCCTTTTTTTCTAAAATGAATTATTTTTATTTTTATCTTCATTAAAACTTCATTTGTCCACTAGCGAAAGTACCCGGTTTCGCTCGAGTTATAAGGTTGATGTATTCTAGATGACTATGTCACTGTGTATATTCTGAACCTATTTTAGCATGGAGGAACAGTCAAAAATATTTTAAACATTTTTATTGTGATATATTGTGAGATAATCTAGCCTAGTAAAAATATCGATCGAATTTTAAACTTAAATAATAAAAACAAATAATAAAAACAAACCTCTTTAATCAACAGAGACTCTAAATTAGGAAACAACAATTTTATTTTTCAATTTTTTAGTTTATACATTTCATTTTCTACTTTCAGTACATAGACTAACAACAATGCTAGGTTATACTTTTATTACTAAACAACATAACATAAAAGCCATTGTTGGTACGCATTGTTACCAAAACGCAATGGCTTTTTCTATATATTCTGTGTGGTTTTTCTCTAGCTTGACACATAAAAAGATGCGCACGCATGCACGCACACGTGCGTATTTGTCTGTCTGTCTGTGATTTATATTAGTAATATAAGGAATCACTTCATTTCTATATGTTTTTCTCTAGCTTGCCCCATTATGCATACACGTGGATAAGTAATAATACCCAGGTGCAAACCCTCATGGTCCACTTAGTACAGGTGCAGGATTGCAGGTTTCTAGATTCTTTCCTCTTTGAGATATGGCGGTAACATATTCTTTTCTTTGACGTTTTTTTTAAATGAGTTAATAATATTTTTACCTTTATTAAAACCGTATTTGTCCATTTAAGCATTTTGCGTTTAACGTCGGAAAAGAGCAAAAAGACAAACGACAAATACTTCAATGTTTTTACTACTCTATGAATGCTTATTTCTCTTAATCTATAACATAGATAATTCATTTTAATATGGTATATTATTTTAAAGTTAACTGAAAAAATATTCCAACGGTTAGTGCAAGTTATCAATAAACCATCATGCCATTCCCTTGCCCCCCAGTAGCTCAGCGGTAATGTGAAGGCTCATAACGCAAAAAACAGGTTTGATACCCGTGGTTGGCAGAACACAGATAGATCATTGTGTATCTTTACGTTTAACAACTAACAAACAAACAAGATATGTCATTCCCTCATTTCAGATTTTCTATATTCACTAAGGTTCCTAAGGCATCAGTTTTAATCTAGTAGCTTTGAAGACCAAATGACCATTAAAATTATCAAATATATGCTACCGTTCTCAAACCATAACGCAGGTTATTATCTACCAGTAAACTTTATTTCTTACCGATCTACCTTTGTTTACTATATGCTTTGCCTCTTCAACAAAGAGTAGAAGAACAACAATAATTTTACCATTTTTTGACTAAAACACACAGGGATCTGTTGTTTGTAATGTATTTAGATGTGTTCAGAAACATTAGAATAGTGGTTTGTTTGTTTGTAGTTAAGCACAAAGCTACACAATGGGCTATCTGTGCTCTGCCCACCACGGGTATTGAAACCCGATTTCTAGCTCTGTAAGTCAACAAACATACCGCTGTGCTACGGGGGGCACACGGTAATGTTACTTCACTTTCCAATTTGGTTAAGAGTCACTGCTGTGTCTCTAGGTGAGCTGGGGGCATCAATGTTATATGTAATTAATTTAAATAAATAATTATTTTAAAACTACAATAACTAATATCAAAATATATTAGATATGTATTATAACATATTTTGCGACAAAACGAATGCAAAATTTTGACATACAGAACTACGATGGAGACTGTTCTGAACTATTTTGAAAAGGTAACACAACTTACAAGAATCTTTACGTAAGTTACGAGGGCAGGGTGTTCTAACACTGACTTGATGTTATGTATATCGTCTTCTACGTTCGATTTATCGTGATTCTTTTCAGACTTCATTAACAGGTGACCAAGTATATCTAGAGAACTTATAGCCTTATAGAGACCTGAAAATGACAAATAAACCACAAACAATGTTTCAAATACATGCGCACATACACATATATAATACGTTAATGAGTACTATTGTTATTCCGCTTGAATGTATTTTAGGTTTTATTTGTTTTCAGGCTACATCAGATGCTTAGTAACTGACCTACGCTTCAATTAATGGAACTGATGAATCTTGATTAATATTCAAGACAGTAGATGAGGAATTTGTACACAGCATATTAAATGTATTATTAACAAATATACACCATTCACGTTATGATATAATATGTGCTCCTATTATTTTTTCGTTGTAATTAACTACGTCAGTAGATGTATGTTACACGTTAACACATTGTTTTTGCTGTTCAGTTAATTATAGATTCAAGATTTAAAACATTGTTTAATCTTCAATAAATGTTGGATTATTATACAAAGACGTAATAGTTATAGGGATATTGTAATTCAATAAGTAAACATGTACAGCTTTAATAGATTAGTGGAATCACCTTCTGAAGTTAGCATTCTTCGTCAAGTTGGTGTCAGAGATATTTTGAAATATTTCCTACAATAAGAGGCAGGTGCAGTGTAACGCCGTTTATCTTCCTCTTCAAGTCTTCTTCTTCTTTGTTAATCTTCAGAAAACAAAATCATATACGAATTTGAGAGTACCTTACTTGGGATGAAAATACATAAAAATACAAATTTATATCATAACATTTACAGTCAGAAACGTATGTTACAATGTATGTCAATAAAAGCAAATTCAGATGATATTAATACTCCAGAAGAAACCAAATTTCGCACATTATTTAAATGCTTAGGTTTCACTATAAACAGATATAAGAACAATAGTAAATATACGTAGTAAATATAAATAGGATGAGGCATGTCTTGGTCAGTATTTCAAACAAACACAGAATACAACAGAAATTTAACACTTTTTGACTTCGTTATACTGGGCGATGTTTATTTGTTTGTTTTTTAGAAAATTCTGCCTTTACAGTCAATATTATTTTCACTTTCCCCAGCATATGACTCAAACTAAACAGTCATTATGTGGTTTAAGAAATATTGCGCCAGTATCGATCTCAAACAAATTGCAACTAATACCTTTATCATATTTAATTTTAGAATTTGATATTTTTGGTAATTTTAATATGAAAGCTCTATGTAAAACGTGGGCTAAACTTTAGGGGTACAAATCCCAAGATTCAGAAACACTCATATCTGATTTAGAATTAGTGGCCAGAGGGAGAGAAGTTTGTCAGCAGTATCAGCCGCATACGCAACAATTCTTATCCAATAGTGGGATTGACTTTCATAATTATAACAGCGCCCTCTACAAAAACAACAAAAAAAGGTCGAGTGTGAAAAACGGTTCGGCGGCTGTGACCATTTTTCTCAGTCATATAAAATTGCTAACATCTACTAAATGATACGCCCGAGTTCACTGTTTCCTCTTCGAGTTACTAGGTAGAAAAATATTCAGCTTTAAAAATAAATGAAGCATAGAGACCTTTAGTTTTTTACAGTAATAAAATAACTGATATATTATGAAGAGTTAGTGCGCAATAATTCACTGTTTTGTTTGAGATTTTAAATAAAGTTTATAAGACGAAATGAGTAGGAATAAAAGAGAATGTTTTTTTAACCTATGTGTACCAGAGGCAACCCATAGTCTCTCCTAGCAATTTACTATCCCCCCACACACACCCTAAAAAAAGGGGGCTTACCCAATGATGTTTGAAAAGTGTCCTATTTTATCAATGAGCTACTGTTCATTTAATTTGCTCTGCACATTGCTGCTCAGCAGCATGTCACAACTCAAACCTTGCACCTTCTGATCTCTAGCCCTATACTCTAGGCCATGATCAGCTCAGATTTATAATAATATATCAATACATTTGCCTTAAAAACGTTGCTGGCTCTTCATTTATACAAACATTTCTTTTATATATATTTCCAAAATAACAGCAGTAATATTTAAAAATTCTTTAATCCAGGTCCAAAAATAAAGAAAAATAATGGTAACTATGTGCCAAAAATCAGATAATTTTACATATCAAAATTTATAAAGAATTAGTAGTTTAATAATCAAAGTACGCTCAAATGTTTTAGTGACAAAACATCATTACAGGGTGTGTATGATGGATTGTTCCTGTAAAAATAGTAATTAAAACGAATGTATTCATGACGTACAAGAAAAACGCTTAGTAACCCTGATCTATATTAAACGAATGCTAGTATGTTCTACTTTCTAAGCGATAATAAAAACGTGAATATTACGCTTTCATTTTGCGCATAAAAAAACAGAAAGAAAAACTTACTAGAAGTGAGTACCTCTCGTGCGAGATACACATCAAGAAACACAAAAATAAAATGAGTTTTCTGGCAATTAATATTCTTCCATTTTGTTTTCATGTTTCTTGATATGTATCACGAAGAGTTTTCTGGCAATGAATATTCATCCTTCGTTATACATATCAAGAAACACAAAAACAAAATGAGTTATCTGGCAATGAATATTCTTCCTTGGTGATGCATATCAAGAAACACAAGGAAGGGATTTTTCTGGCAGTAAATATTCTTCGTTCGAGGTGAATACTCTTTTTTTCGTGTGATTGAAGAAACATGTCTTCAATTTTAAAATCTATATTGAAACGAAGATGGTATGCTATGCCATGTTTTGTCAGCAACTGAACACAGAAAAAGTGAAGATACAAAGAAGTTTTCTTATTCATTTTTAAAGTAGTCCAAGAGCAGAATGCTACGATGTAACTTAACTCTGTAACATTCTTGCCACGATATTACTTACTTTAAAACCAGTCTCGCAATGTAATTCAAGATAGACGAGAAAACAACACAGATGTCATATTCAATTCTATAATATCTTCTAATTCTTTTATTAAAGACATAGCTTTCAAGCAAGCGTTTGGAAAGGAACTGATTTCGGCGCTTTGGATATAATCCATCAATTATTTTCCGAATTACCATTAGTAAAGGTAAGCAACAAGAAATGGATATGACAGTAATATCAATCACAATATGTACCTAGTTTTACAAGTCTCGTTTCTTTTTACAACGAACTGATCGTCTAATATTTTTCGGCTATGTTAAAGGCGGTGTTTAAAATCACACGATTCGCCAGATGGAATTAACACTTCCTACAAAAAAAAAAAGATTTTAATAAAGAGAAAAGTCTGGCACAATGTTATGATGCAACTTTGGTAAGGTACTAGAAAAGGATGTGATCGACTGTTCAAACTTGTAGTAGGAAGCCACAAATTCCTATTTTAATTACCCAGTCACGAGTTAAAGCGAAACAGAAAATCACGAAGCTCATTAGAAAGTTTAAGTAATAAGTCATGGTTCAAAGCATAGTAGAAAATCGTTCATTTCATTAGAAGATTTAATTCAAAAGTCGTGGTTTAAAGCCGGGTACAAAAGTCACGTAGTTCAATTGAAGGTTTAATTCCAAATCCATCTTTTACAAATATTCATTGTATTATACTTAATTATATTGTGTTATATCCCATTAGCTTATATGTAGTTTAAGCTAAGGCGCAAAAAAGCATTAAAATGTCATTTTGAAAGCCTGATTAATCAAAAAATATTCTAGTGGTACTCCCTTGGACTAATAATGCTGTATGTAATAAAGGGATATAATGTAATGAGCAATATAATCACACGTCAATCCTACAGTTACTTCATTACAAAGTACTAGACTTTGTAAACCTGGTACATGTTTGGTGATATCGAGGACCATAGTATATAACACAGAGAAAAACACCTTTTTTTACATTGAATAACGAAAGAAGCGTAACATCAAATCAATTTCCTTTCAAGCAGATGCTACAGAAGATTTCTGTCATCTTGTGATTGGATACTATCTATGTTTACGGGGGCATTCCTACCTTAAACGTTTGAACTTTTGACTCGATCCTGTCCTAGTAGTGTCAGATGTATTTTTCTAATCATAACTCTCCCTATAATGTCCCTGTCCTATCCATCATTCATGTCGTAACTTCCCTGTCCTAAATATCTCACTGGGTAATGGCGTGGCCTGGTGGTTAAGGCACTCGACTCACAATCTGAAGATTGCGGATTCGAATATCCGTCATTGAACATACTCTCTATTTCAGTCTTGGGAGCGTTATAATGTGACAGTCAATTCCACTAGTTGTTGGTGAAAGAGTAGCCAAAAGTTGGCTGTGGATTGAGTTGACTAGATGCCTAGTCTATCACTGCGAAATTAGGGACGGCTACCGCAGATAGCTCTCGTGTAGCTCTGCGCAAAATTTAAGCCAGCAAGCAGACTGTCCCCTACTAACGCCGCTGGTACTTATCGACGGACTACCATTCGACTTCTCTCCTCTGGATACCACCAACTTTATCCGCAGATACAAGCCTCAAACCCGCGTATTTCCTGAACGCACCCGTCGTCACCCCAAGGGAGGTATATCCTTCAGCCCAGGACACTCGAAGATCTCCCTTACCTTTGCTGCCCTTGGTCTTCAAACCCACTCTTCACATGCCAACCCCCAAACGCCAGTCTCTACACAGTATTTCTAAGAAACATTCACCTATCCTTTACAACAAAAGAAATCCATTAAGCCTTCGTAACTTCAACCAACTCATCGATCCACGCAGTTCACCGAATCACATCCACGAAAACAGGTTCACCCTCTCATTTCAAACCCTCGAAACTTCAACCAACTCATCGATCCAATGCAGTTCACCGAATCACATCCAAGAAAACAGGTTCACCTTCTCATTTCAAGCCCTTGACGCTTCAACCAAGTCATCGATCCACGCAGTTCACCGAATCACATCCAAGAAAACAGGTTCACCTTCTCATTTCAAGCCCTCGAAACTTCAACCAACTCATAGATCCAAGCAGTTCACCGAATCACATCCAAGAAAACAGGTTCACCCTCTCATTTCAAGCCCTCGAAACTTCAACCAACTCATCGATCCACGCAGTTCACCGAATCACATCCAAGAAAACAGGTTCACCCTCTCATTTCAAGCCCTCGAAACTTCAACCAACTCATAGATCCAAGCAGTTCACCGAATCACATCCAAGAAAACAGGTTCACCCTCTCATTTCATGAAAGTCGTCACGACTTCTAAACTAACTGCAGACTTCATCCTCACCCACGGATGCTCTCTTGAATTCTACCATTTCAAAGGAGAGAAATCATACCGGAAGCCTCGCCCACCCCTATCCTTACCAGTTCACCCCCCTCCCCAAGCTCATCTTTCACAACACCCGAACGACAACCGCTGCCTAACAGAACTCTACTACCCAACCTATCACATCAGACCAAGCAACTCAAACTTCGCCCACATCTGAGACAGAAACACAAGACAAGACAACCCAAACTACCTCTACAAGAAGGAAAAAAGTACCCAGACCCAGCCACCAGTCCTAGCAGTAACCAACGACGCATATGAACAAACCAGCAACCCGAACCTCAGTCTAGTTCCACATTCTGCACCCTCCTCGTCAAACTCACCCAACGCTCTTGTAATCCTCCTCCTTGACATACCCGACGAACCTTTTCTTCCTCTCCGCCCACTTACCAACAACACCAACGACTTTGCGCTGTCACAACCATACTACAGTAAA